AAACGCAGCCTTTTTTTCTACGGTTAAGTCTACCGTCCACACTAATCCGTCGCGAAAACGGAGCTTTTCGAAAACGCTCTTCAAACCAGAGGAATTTCAAACGCCATCTTTTCGTTTTATGTGTGGACGGAAAACATTTTGAAAACGGAGCTTTTCGAAAACGTATTACGATAATCATGTGATTTCCCTGACTGAATTTTCTTCAAACACAAATCCAAAATGACCGATGATTGTTGCGTTTTTAAATTCCTCCGGCGTAGTATGAATGTTTTCAGAGTAAAACCTCCGTTTTCAAATTCCTCCGGGCGGCGGCGTATTGTAGACGAGGCCGGATTCCGCGGTTCGTTGTGATTATCATGTAGATTCACTCCAACTCCAGACTTGCAATATCGATACATCACGCAGCTGTGGTTCAGATAGGTGATGAAAATAATAAAAAAAAATTACCAAGTTGCGGATATTTTTTTGATGTACCACATAATTCTCATAACTAATGCGGGAGTCTGTATATGACTTCAAAATGGACAACTGATTTACTTTCTGATCGAGTGAAATCGTATCTGTCAGGGTAAATAACTAAACAGGTGCTAAACTCTTACGAGCGAATATTAAAATTAAAATACACATGCATTTTGAATCAGGAACTAAATTACATGAGTGATAAGTTAACTTTGATCGATGTTTAAGCTGAAATATCGTGTTTAAATAAGTACACTTTTTTTCATAAGAATATTGTTTTCCGGCTGAGGCTGAATGTTCTTATTTTTCTGCCGATTTTAGGTTGAACATCATTTTCATGTGAATATTCTTAGATTACAGTGTATGACATTTCTGTTTTCGAATGTATATGGTGCATGTCTAGCTAGCTGGTGTTTCATGTCATGTCTGTGATATGACGCACATAACTTCTAACATATGGCTGGTGCTGTTTTTGTTGGTTTTTGGCCAGTTATGCCATTTAGAGAAAGAAAGCATTTTATGCGGTTTAGTTAAAAACATACGATTGTATTGTATTTACAAATTTTCAACACATAAAATTACCTTCTTTCTAAAATCTCCGCGTCGGGTCTATTCTTAAAATATTCTTAAAATATTC